TTTGCAATGTTTTACAACTAGGAACAGGTCGTTGATGTACAAAATAAATAGCAAAGGGCCTAACACAGTGCCCTGTGCATGTGGTACCCCTCTTAGCACCATTTTGACGGATGTTACTCGTCTAAATTTCTTCGAAGTAGCGCGCGCCGCTTTCTTCTCGAAATGTGCCCGACGGCACGAGCTACAAAGTAGCGCGCACCGGGCCAAATCATTAACAATGGTCAAAGCACCATTATGACGAGAGATTCAATACCATCTACAACGACACATGTTGCCGTTGGGTTCTTCCACTGAGGAAGCTTTCCAGCCAACGGTGGGCGTTGCCCTGGAAACCGTACATATGGAGCTTCTTCAGAAGTATACTTATAGTTATAGCGTGGTCAACCTTATCGAAGGCTTTGCTGAAATCAAAATACAGAATATCAGCATTTTCGTCACCATCTAAGTTTCACCTAACCATGTGCTTTCGCGCCACTGCGGGCGCGCTTGTTTCACAAGTCAAGAAACAAGTCAAGAAACCACCGTGAGGCTGGCGCGCGCTACTGCAAGCGCAAGGGCTCTGGATAGAGCAAATCTAAGTCATCCATGATGTCTTGGACGTGGTGAAGAAGTTGAGTAAGACAGCTTCTTCCAGCTTGAAAGCCGTGTTGGTCGTGGTTGATGATGTCTTGAGCTACAATGTAGTCAACCAGCTTAGCACGGACGACCCTCTCAAACATCTTTATGAGGTTGGATAGTGGTTGGATCAGACTGGAGCTTGTCATCACTATCCAATAGGAGTCCGACGAATGCAGCAGGGGTTTTTAACTTTTTTGTTTTTGACTCTTTTGACTAACCACCTGTTAAATTTTAAATGTTAAAATTATATTCAAATTCTGATTCAATTTCAAATTTATATTGATTGGCAATATTAAATTTGTTTACTTACCTGGGGCCCCCAGACTATTAATTATTTTCATTGACACACGCTGCAACCCCTTTTGATCGGTCGTGAAGCGCAGTCGGCCGGCCGGCGCTTCGCGTGCACGAAAGGTATACAACGTGTATATAGCACGCTGAGTGCCGCCCAGTAATGTTTCACTTGATTGCAACCAGAAACGCTGCGTGCAAGAATGATAGCGCGCGGCGCGTCGATGCGATAACATCCTCAATACTGCAACTGAATGCAGCAATTATAATTCACATATGTCATATATTTGACTACATTTTTTATTGTATTGTAAAATGAATAAATAGAACACTAAGAAAATACACAAACTTTAATCATACATTATTTTTAATTCACATGCACAATTAGATGTATTAAACCGATTTCTAAAACAAAATATCCAACAACAAACAATTCGGAAAATATACTTCTTTAGATGACGCAAAACAGTTATGACTATGAATACACACTTAATTAATTGCATCGATTATAGATTTGTAGATTTATAACCTACCAGGACGCGCGCAGAGTTGGACTCGTCGACGGTCGCGGTCCTGTAATATTTTAAATTGTAGCGTGTAGCGCGATGCACTACTGGGTCGCGCCGCGCATTTTCTCGCAACCACAGATCGGCGAGATGCGAAGGATTGACATCGTGAATCAATATTTTAAACAACTATTTTACGAGTATCACCCGTTAAGTAATGTTTGAAACAAATATGTTACGAGTATCACCCGTTAATTATGGATTAGACATTCGTCATTCGCCTTACCCGGGGACCTCAGGCCGGCTATTATGTTCATAAGGCGGAATGACAGGCTGAGCGGAATGACAGGCATTCGTAACATAATAAAAAGTGTTGATCAAGTTATGGTACAAATCGAATATTGCCGTATGTTGCATCTGTTTTACAACTTTAAGTTAAATATAAAACTAAACTTTAACTACAACAATTAGGCTAAAATGGCTCTTGCTTGTGAAAAGTGCATCAACTACCCACCGAAGCGGTGCGTTGGGAGTTTTATCTCAGTTATCCTACTCCTTGTAGCGCGATGCGTTACTGTGCCGCGCCGCGCACTCAATAAGGCTTCTCACAGCGATCTGGCTAGATCGGCGAGATGCGCTACTGTGCCGCACCGAGCTGCCATGAATTGACATCGTCAATTAATCCTACTCCTAAAACTGTATCATTTATCAAAAGTTTTCAGTGTCTTTAATAACATTTTACTATACCATTTAAAATGTAGGACCTGTTTGATATCATCAACTACTACTACTAGACGGAAGATTGACTAGAGGATGTCGATGTCAGAGTTTAGATCCAAAAGTATTGCATTGTAAAAATTCTCATTAGATTTTGGATACTCATAATTGAATATTGAATATTCAACAAGATTTTCATTGCTAATTCGTTAGTAAATTGTTTAGCGATATTAATTTTAACTTATTTTTAAATTGAAATTGTTGGCTTTGGTCTGCATTTAAAATTCATATACTTGGGAATGTGACCTTACAGTTATAGGCAGAATGTGATATTTTGCTCTACACAAATGTGCATTTGTACAGAATATGAGAGATCGGATGTAATTGGGTAGCTTTGTTTCAATGGAGGTGGTGGATCCCGATTCCCAAGTACCTAGGACATGTGCTCTTTTATGCCTTGTTGCAGTTTAATGTTTTCACTATGACAATTGTTAGTGGGTTAGAGAGTTTAGTACACTAAATTATCATTATGCTCATTTATATTGATTACTGCCATTTTTCATGTAAACGTAGGAAAGCTAAAAGATGTGGTTACGATGAATTAAAGGCGGTGAAGCTTTCAAAATGGTAAAAATTGATAAATGCTGAAGCCTTTGCCAAAATTAACCAATCCCCTTCATCAAATTTAATCCAGTGATCTCGGCCCACAGGCTCCTCCTATTAAACAATTTTGATTTTTGTAAATGTGTGCTGACTCCACCACCTATGTATTTAACCTAATATTTAGTGTATTACAGGTAGAAATTGACTTAGGTAGGTATTTTTCTCTTAGGTAGATATTAAGAATTTGGATAATTTCTTAATTGTATGACTATTTCCATTACTGAGACGTTTTTAATATTTAATTTAGGAGGGTTTTTGAAATTTTTATAGGACTGGTTCACAGAGTGAACAGATTCCAGATTTATATATTTTTAAACTGATATTTAATAAATGATTAAAAGAACAAATTTTAAAGTTGCCATTAGATCCAAAAATACACCCATTATGCTCACTTAAAAACAACTCTAAATCAGTAGGCTGTCACTCTATTAATGCACCACACCGCTACCTCCACTGCACTAATAGTTATACAATAAATTCTACAATCCTAATTTTGTGTCGTGATGGAGACCGGTGTTCATACAAAACATTTACTAGGTTGCCGTTTGGTGTGAGCAATAGCGAACAGCACGCACACTCCTTTGCCCCGTCAACCTATATCTAATCTATTTAAAGAGTGACAACCATACTGCACATTGAATTAGGATTCCGTTAAATATCAAATTGATTTATTGTAAACTTGTTTAATCTGTAATAAATGGCATAAAATTGAAATTTTTGTTTAACTGAATTTTTGTTTAACTGAACCTTTATTTTTTCCATTTCACCCTTTTATAAAAAGGTAATAGTGAAAGGTTACGAATGGTCGTTTTTGCAGAAAAACGTGGATTTTGGAGATTGCGGTAGGTGGGTCAAATATATGTCGTGTTCCTTGCTTACTTACTTCCGTTCGTTATCATGTCAACTTGCCGTGCGCACGCGCGCGAGGATTGCTTGCGGAGATGTGGTGTATAGCTAGCCTGTGGTCAATGAATGCGCGGCGCGGGAGTATTTTAATGTATTTTAATGTATGTGTTTCAATAGTATTATTATGAAGTGAGCTGATTAGAGCTTATATTTATAGTTATACTTATAGTGAATGTGGAATGGGAATCTAGCGTCCGCCAAAACGAAACAACGGGCGCAATTCTTGTTAAAATCTGAGTGTACTCAAACACTGCAGGAGAAAGAACAAGAAATTAGAGAAATGGAAGAAAGCACAGAATCATTATTCAAGAAATCTTACATTTTAGTAATTGGGTCTATGATAGAACTGAGACCATCTTGCAGTTGTTGATATTTAGATATCAACTCTGTATTTAATCATTCAAAGTACTGAGTGATTCAAAGTACTGATATGAGTGATCAGTGTTCTGAATGGTGTCTTTTACACATTGAGATTTAAAACTTCTAGCTTGGCTGAGCTTCTGGGAGTAACTTTGAAAGGGTGCAAGCAACTTCAGTCAAATATATTGGGTGCACCAAAAATATCACCAGTTTTAGGATCGTTTAATTAATATGAACACCAAGGTGAATTGAAAAGAAGGAAGTTTGCTGACACTTATTATTTTTAATTAATAATTAAATTTGCAGCAAGTCAGATCATGTCACCTACCATAATGCTCTTTTGAGGTTGCATTTGCATAGATCAGTGAACATACATTGTCGATATCGTCTTGAAACTATGAAGTCGATACAAGGGGTTCTTCTTCCTCCCTCATAACACTTGCAACCATTCCCTACTGTACACATTGATATCTCTGGCAACCTCCCCCAGGATTGCCATATCCCAGAGGCAAGTAGAGCATCTTCATGCTATCCTCTTGTGGGCCATCCAGGCCCAGCCTTCTTCTGATAGCACTAATGCCACCTATAAGGACAGACTGAACTAAGATACAGCTCTTCTTTTGCTAGGTAACTCAGGGAAGAGCTTAGTTGTACAACTATTTAAACTTTTCTTTGACTCCAAAGATCTTACACAAAAATGTAGCATATTATAATAACTGTAACTACATAATTTAATATTGTTCAATAGTAGGAAATGTAGTATTCTTTACAGTTCAATAGACTATTCAGTAACAATACAAGATATTATTTGATTACAGCACTGTATTAATTCTTGCTGAAATCATTGATCCTGTTACAATCATTGTCACGAGCAAATCAATCTTATGTCACCACACTGCACCTTCCTTTGTTAATTATACAAAGCTATAAACTATTCTCTAATTGTGCAGGCATGTAAAGAGTATGTAAACATTCGGGATTTATTAATAATATGGTTGCTGATATGGCTGGTCCGCTGAACGCTATTAAAAGGACTGTCATCGACGGAAAAAGTGTGATCCTTTTGGACGGTCCACCTCAAGTAAGTTAAATCCTATAATCATATTATGATCTCTGTACGTACATTTTCACGACTTAATAGTCAATTTGATTTTAAAACTTCAAAGTGAACTGCCCTCTCCTGCGTAAGCTGGATAAAGGCACAGCAATGGAATTGCCACCCAGCTTTGTCATATATAATGTCCACCACTAATTATATAATTAAATTTCTATTCCATTCCTCCGGTAAAGCCCGCTATTTAAAGTGTGCTCAGCACAGCATGTGGTAGAACGTAATTTGTGCACAGTAAAAATGCGTTTTATTTAGAATATATGTACATAGAATAATATATTTAAAGTTAATCTCTCAAGATGTTGGAAATATCGACCTTGACAATTTAATTCAGGTTTTATCCTGGAACGAATTCAAGTCAATCTGCAAACTATTCGAAGAAGTGGATTGGTTTGACATCGCAGAGGTCACTGGAGCCGACTTTACATCGAGCATGCAGGTGAGAAGTGATTACTGCACCACTGGCGCGGTTTAGTGATACTCACCGTGCTACATATTATGTGCCATAACATGCCCTTACATGTGCTGCGTGTGCAGTTTGCAAGTGTAACATGCAAGTTATCCGATTAATTCTACCAAATTATCCTCTGGTCTGTTGTGCGATATTATAATCAACCCACAGCACAGACAAGACTATTGTTATGCCTATTTTCAATTTGGATGTGACCTCATTATAATTCTTGTTCATGATAGTGGAATGGTGACTATTCGATCACATCTCTCAATAAAAATATTATAATACGACACAAATTTGCTTGGTTGTATGTTGGTTTTGAACCGATGCTGACATAATATTGACATATACCTAATTTAAATGTCACCTCAAATTTGCTGTAATGTAAGTTATTTTTATTGCCATTATAGACGCCAGTCAACGGGCCCGGATGCCTCAAGTTTCCAAGACAGGAAGAGCGCAAGAATGCTATTACCAGTGTGCCCAGTGTTGAGAAAACTGTATTAGCCTCCCTTGACGAGAAGCCCATAAGTAATAGCACACCATTGAAAACAAAGCCTTCCAAGAAAAAAGGTTTCACGGAGAGGAGGTTTAGGAAGTCCGAGAAATGGTATGTTTCAGATTGCACGAGATGAACATGCTTTTTACAATGAGGCTAGTTTGCTGATTTCATTCTGACATGAAACGATCTTCACTTATAATACCGGTCATGCCTTCGTTATGACATGAATGTTGAAGGAAACTTTTCCTTGGAAAATTTCGAACAAAATTTTCATCATAACTGAAAAGTTACACCCTGTCACCGAATGCATGTAACCTTTATAAGCCCCTTCAAATAAATTTGCCATGGTAATCATCACTTCGGGCTGTATGCTGGATACATTGATCTTGTTAAAAATAAGTTTTTGATTAGTTTTTAATTAATTGTCCTGTTGATTTTACAAGCTTTATTTATATGTTAGCATCTTATATAATTGTTGTTGGCTAATAGATCATCTCACTGTAACAGTGCTCATTTATGGGATGTAATTGGATTATTACATGTTAATGCATGTTGTGACTTAATTTAACTAAATGTTAGCACAGTTGCAGTCCTTCTCTTTTGAATGTACATTTGTTAATGCTATTCCATAAGAGACAGCACAAAGATTAGAATAATAATAATACATAACTTTATAACTGACCATTGTGATGATACTATTATGCAGGGTTCAAACATTAATAAAATAAAATTATTAATCCAAATATAATTAGTAAGCCCCATTCACTTTTTACCAAGTTATGGCAGAGCATTCACTTATCTCACCAAATTACAATACAGTACACTACACAGCACTACAATAATATAATACAGTTTACTATATACTATAATAATAGGTAGTAGGCACTATTATGTAATATAGTATGTACTATGTAAGTTATGTATATTACAATGTTAGTTACTACAATATGGTATATCACAATGTTAGACACTATACAGTATGTATTGTACACTATAATAAAAGGTAGTATAGATATAATAAAAGGTAGATAGGGTCGGATAATCTGCTGCTGCTACTACACACTCTGTCAAGTTAAGGTCTGATAATTTATCATATCAGCTGTCTAGCCTAACAGTTAACACATATAACCTGTACACGGAGCTGTGTCGACTCACCCCAGTACTTAGCTAGCAGTTAACCAGTATTTGACAGTTAGCTGGCCAGTTAGCCAGTACTTGACAGTTAGCTGGCAGTTAGCCAGTACTTGACAGTTAGCTGGCAGTTAGCCAGTACTTGACAGTTAGCTGCCAGTTAGCATTAATATTATTAATTTATATACTGTAATTTCAATAAAAATACACATACTGCACTGCTCACAATTAAAAGAGAGCTCTGAGATAAAATATTAAGTTTTTTACCGCATGCTCGTATATCTCAGTGCCGTTGCTAAGTGCCATTACACCTTAAAAAGCTAAAATAGTGCTTCTCATGGAACCAAGATTCGTGAAAAATTTCAAATATTTTAGTTTGGTAGTTCCCAAGAAGCCTGTTATTGTGCACTGTTATTCTGTAAGGCTTGTATCTCTCTATATTGTGCACTGTTATTCTGTAAGGCTTGTATCTCTCTATATTGTGCACTGTTATTCTGTAAGGCTTGTATCTCTCTATATTGTGCACTGTTATTCTGTAAGCCAGCCGAGTATCTCTCTCTCTCTCTCTCTCTCTCTCTCTCTCTCTCTCTCTCTCTCTCTCTCTCTCTCTCTCTCTCTCTCTCTCTCTCTCTCTCTCTCTCTCTCTCTCTCTCTCTCTCTCTCTCTCTCTCTCTCTCTCTCTCTCTCTCTCTCCCTCTCCCTCTCTCTCTCTCTCTCTCTCTCTCTCTCTCTCTCTCTCTCTCTCTCTCTCTCTCTCTCTCTCTCTCTCTCTCTCTCTCTCTCTCTCTCTCTCTCTCTCTCTCTCTCTCTCTCTCTCTCTCTCTCTCTCTCACCCAAAGTACCATGTAATTGGTCATTCCACTTACCTACTAGGGCCTCTTTAGCACTGACGTTCTTTTATTATAGTATAGTGGTCGAGGAAGTTGCGTTTAAATATAAAAATGTAATCGCCAAACCCAAATTAAATCGATTTTTTGTGTAAATGGTATTTAATCATTCTAGGTAATTATTATAAAAAAGGAAGTCACAAAAACCACTTTATCATTAGCCTTCATGATTGAATTAAATTTGGGCACAACCACTAAAATCCCATAACTCTACACCCTCAAACAGTTTTATAGTCGCCGAGCTTCATGCCATCCCGAGCTTCATTCCACTGCGCTAGACAGTTCACTGACAAACACAATAGCTTTACCACCCTGAGACCTGCCAGTCAAATCACACAAATGCCCGCAGCACAATCAAACCCGCAGCTAATTAACAAATACCAGGCACGCTATACACCACTAATTATACCCTGGAGTTGAAGCAGCATGTTTCTAATAACCACATACCTCCCTCCAGGTAGAGGAATCCCCGACACTCAAAGAGGTGGCAGCCCAGCACATGCTCTCAAAAGAGACTGTCTCTTATCTCAGTCACCTGGGTATCACCAGCTGTACTAACCTCCGCAAACTTACTCAGGACGATATCTCACACCTCCAGATCCCGATGGGTCAGAAGCGCAAGGTTTCCTCCGCCGTGGGTCAGTTAACCGGCAAGCCCATGGTACCCATACCTGGATCCTTCAGGTCTAAGAGCACCAGCGGTGGCAGGAATGTTGAGGGAGCACTTGCTGAACATCCCAAATTCTGGGCGGACCACATGGGCAACTCTAAGCTCATAAGAATGCTCTAATACATTAATTCCTTTTGTTGGAGCGTGTGTGTGTGTGTGTGATATGTAAAAATCTTGTAAATATATTTTATGACACTGCTTGACACTAAGATATTCGACCAATGTGAGTTGCTCGTGGATTAATCTCATTATGGAACGGAGGAGGCAAGACAAGGCATAATTGTGTTCCTGACAAGTATGATTTATATGATTTGGTTATATAACATGTAAACTAACTAAGTAACGAGCCGATTTGTTGCAACCTCTCTGCAAGTGCAACGTATATTTTATATAATATGGTTTCACGCACTAAACTCACATATTTCGTAAGTTCGTAGTATGGTTGGTGTTAAAGTTATTTTATTCAGGCCAAAAATTTATCACACAGTTTTTAAAATTTGTAAGAAATTTAATTACACAGAAAAATGTTGTCTACTGATTGAAATAAGGCGATAACGAACTTCTCGCTCTAGTAGGATGGTTTGTTTCAATGATCATTTTGCCAGTTTCAACCAACTTTGAGAGTCGCACTTGAAACTCTTCCTGGTTACCATGGTAACCAAACTTGAATCCTGGAAAATTATATCCTTTTTAGATCATATTTGAAAGTCGACTTTAGGTGCACTTTTCATCTCAAGGATTTTGAAATATGGGGACATGATGTAATTTTGATTGCTATTTATTATAGTATATTAGGAAGGGCTTCCAGCTATTTGGTGATCATAAGAAAATTTAAAGCGCTGCTATTTGACAGCTCGATACTTCATACTTGACTAAAAAGAGAACCTGCGTTGCTTCAATTTACGTAATTTGTCGATTAATATTATAAAGGAGTACTATTAACATACTATTATGTAACTTCAACTTGTCACATGGATTGAACTATCCTTGTCTTCTGAACTCATTGGTAAAGTTCCAATAAAATAGCCTTTAAGCCTTCCAGTAGGTTGGGAAGTGAGAAGTGGTCCTATTTAAATTGTAATGTGGATGAGTGCAATTACAAGGTTTGCTGACTTATTAGCTACATGGTTAAGTATGTGAGTAGCGTTGGAAATTACTAAAAATCGTATTGCTGAAAAAGTGATACCATGAGTGATTGATGTTTTTATGATATTGTAAATGACAATCATTATAAATAAATGAATTAATTGATTAATTAATGGATTCGAAAATGTTCATTATTTGTTGGAGCACGTTGTTAAGTCTTATCTCGAGTTTATAACTTAATGCTGTTATAGGTTTATAACTTTAAAAAATATTGGTTTTTGCAGTGTTATTCCTATCCGCAAAAATGTACATTATCGCCTCTGATTATTCATGTTATATAATTGGTTTTCACTTATTGAATTATTGATATAACGCATTAGCCTACAAATTACAATAGCTTTAATAAAATATATGGTTGTCATGAAAAAGTCTAGTGCAGTAGCCTAATCGCCTATTTATATGTTTGATCATACATTTTACCTTTAAATTATAAAATCTTTAAAGAGATTATTGGGTCTGAGAGATTATTCTGTATAACCTATTCCTGTCAACATATTAGTATATTATGCAGATTTAATAATTTAGACATTATACTGATACTTGATTATTCTATTGAAAAATTAAATTTTCCAATGTAAAATTATCTCAAAGATTGGAGAATTATTAAGTGAAAGTTTTTTTTCAAAAGCCTCTTCCTTTATTTAAATTTGATATGGAAATCTTTGATTTTTTTGAAGAAAATTTTCTGTAAATCTTCAACAGTACAAGAGTGTATATAATAATAATTCTGTATAAGTGTATAGTACTGTACAGTACACAATTTTAATGAACAGAATTAATTGATCATTCTGTTTAGAATTTAGATGATGAATTAACTTTCTAGTTGGACTTTCAAACATTCATCTTATTTTACTAATTACTCAGTTTTGGAAATTTTGGAATTTGCTTTATAATTAGATTAATGCCAAGAAAATGGTTTGATTTCTATCCCAACAAAGAAACTAAGTTGCTTAACCCTCATCTTAAACAATGCCACACTGATTGCTCAGTGCTAAAAGTATTACGCAACGTCTCTCTCTCTCTCTCGAGCAAGATCTAACGGTCTTATCATTAAGGGGCGGTTGCAATCAGCAACAGTTCAAAGACAGAAACCATCGTGTAAATGATATAAATATATACCACTTTGTAACCACGAAGGAGGCTGATGAGATGAACGTCAAATCATTCCTCACTGTCACGTTATAACAATACGAAATATGCACGTATTATACGGTATTACATAATATCATAATAAGCTCATTTGTACTGTAATTACGATAAATGTGCTGCTTTTATTGAACCTCTGTCGCTGATTTAATGTCCATTAGAAAGCATTTATAAGTTACAGGTAGTCGGTCATGAGGTTGGTGGGACACTCAACAGGTTGATGGTTGTATTAGATGTTGTATGTATTAGAAATTCAATTATGATGTTATTATATTCATAAATAATAAATAATTTACATACTACATGCTGACGTGGACCCTCATCACGTATTTGCACGTGACTCAAAGTAATTTTATGAGCAGTTTTGTTACAAACACACATATAATGTATATGGGGGGGGGGGGGGGGGGGAGGGGGGGGGGGGGAAGGCAGTACAGTGTACACTTACATTTACATAAGTATGACTCAAATTTGAGACCTGTAATTTTGCAGATGGACCACTATAACTACTCATTAGAGGATTCCGTCGTCAATATTTAAAAAATTCGATGTTTAGAGGCAACACCCTATCAACATTGAATTATTTCGATCGGGCACTCAGTGAACGATAAATAAGCCCCTGCGTATGTGTACTGACTTTGCCCTCCCCCCGGCTCCGGACCTTTTCAATTATTTATGCAACAGCATGATAATGATGATCAACAAGTAAAATATGCGGCATTCACGTGTACCTGTAGCAGGCATGGGGACGCTGAATTTACTGACCCACTTAACTTACTATAAATAATAGCTGTTAACTAAATGTTACTACTTGCGGCACAAACTACTCGCATGACACATGTTTCATATTCTTATATTGATTGGCAGTAACAGCTGAACAATATATATAACAATATATATATGTACATGATATGTATAATATATATTGTCATATGCGTTAAAATATACCACCATTGTACTTTATACAGTTATATAATAACTTATGAATAAAAGCTTCATCTCCCCCGAGACTTTAAATGAATTGAAACAAGTTTCACTGGGGATCTGGGTCACATGACCTACAACCTGGGTCACATGACCTACAACCTGGGTCACATGACCTACAACCTACATGACAGCCACGTGGGCGCCTTCACTTTATTTAACACAAGGTGTCTTTAAAGGAGGTCACGTCATCACGTGGGCTACAAGTCACGTGGGCCACAAGTCACGTGGGCTACACGTGATATCAGAGTGATTAATAGACAGAGCAGCGTAACGGGTGCCTCCCCCGCAGGCTGCCAGATGGGGAGCTGCTTTATTTAACTCAGCATCATATTATATACAAGTCACACGTGAGGAACTCATCGACATAGTGTGCGGGTCACTAAAATGCCAATCCAATTTTTCCGCGTCCAATATAAGAATATCTAGTTACTACTGTCCGGAGAAATGGCATGGTAGTGCAATATATTCCGATATTTTCCAATATATATTATATATTATATAATATGTCCTTATTGTCCATTTGTCCGCGTGCGCTTTATGGAAAATAGGAAAATACCTGTTTACCCGAACAGAAGGTTTTATAGAACAAATGTTTCATAATGAAAGACAGTGCTTATTAGATATAGTAGCCCTACTAGAGATATACTAGCCCTACAAGAGACTGAAGACTTACCTGTATTGTAGTGGCAGTGCAACGCAAATTAATAAAATCTAAGCATTATGTGCATAATATACACATTATTTAAACTATAGTTAATGGTGGTTTGTAATGCGGTGTAAAAATTTATGGTAAAATATGCGAGTATTATTATAAAGGAGTATTATTATAAAGGATCTCTTGACTACTTTGTTCAACTCGTATTTATTGTGCTGATCTACAGATCCACTACATTACTGCTCATAATGCTGTGTCTGGTACAAAAATACATAGGCAATAATATACTGGCTTAATATACTTCATAAATATATAGACAATAATATACTGGCTTATACTACTAAATGGCTTAATGCCAACCCTCAAGAATAACCCTAGAATATTGGTAACAAAATCGCAATTAAATAACTTTAACATTCGGTGAAATTTTATAAATTCGTTTAATTCGTAGTGACCGAAAAATTATACAACGCAACACACAACAGTGCTTTTGGGAAGTTTCAAAGAATAGACCGTTAATTATACACTAGTCTAAATATGAGACAATCAGACTGTTAACTATAAGTATATATATATATAATACTAACTAGACTATAAGTATAACTTTAATAAAAGCATGTTGTAAATGTAACGTGTTGATAATCTGTGATAAGGAAAGCTTTCAGCATTGAAAACAGACCTAGAAAAAGACTTCATCCTATCATTAAAGTTGAAGCAGCAGTATTTTACCTCTAGTTCTGGTAAAGCCAGTCACTTGTTTTCTCAGTCATGTCAGCATATAATAATATAATATATGTAATATGAGGGATACATTTTAAAGATTAGTCTCCATATACATATAGGAATCATAAGTGTCAGCGCTGTTTGTTAAAACTACTTGCAAACTCCCAACTAAAGCTAAGAGATTCTTCTACATCCGCGCATAACTACATATCGGCATGAATCTTACAATGTCACGGAAATGTTTGGAATATTTGAGATTGGTGTTTGACGTCGAGTGCTTCCACGCAGTATGTGAGCAAGGTGCCCGCTTCTCCGTTTATAAGAAGTAATAAACTCGACTACTTCAAGGTCACGTGGTATGTGAGCAAGGTGCCCACTTCTCCGTTTATAAGAAGTAATAAACTCGACTACTTCAAGGTCACGCAGTATGTGAGCAAGGTGCCCGCTTCTCCGTTTATAAGAAGTAATAAACTCGACTACTTCAAGGTAACGTGGTATGTGAGCAAGGTGCCCACTTCTCCGTTTATAAGAAGTAATAAACTCGACTACTTCAAGGTAACGTGGTATGTGAGCAAGGTGCCCACTTCTCCGTTTATAAGAAGTAATAAACTCGACTACTTCAAGGTCACGTGTGACTGAGGTCACACGTGACCTTGTCAGATTACCTCTGAACACTGTAACACATGGTAACAACAAGTCTCAATGTTGATAACACCACCGTTATGGTATTCGTTTTTAACACCGTCCGTTTGTTGAGTGAAAACGAATAACGTTTCCTATGAGTATTGCTGAAAGCACAGTGTAAGGCCTACACGGACCGCCTCTAACTAGCCAATCCCTGTTTACATGCCGTGTAGCAGGGGACTAGAAAGAGCTAAACTAGTAAGCGGGGCATATATTACTACTATATTTCCCTTGTTCAACACACACACACATACACACACACACACGCATACACACACGCACACACACACACACACACACACACACACACACACACACACACACACACACACACACACACACACACACACACACACACACACACACACACACACACACACACACACACACACACACACACACACACACACACACACACACACACACACACACACACACACACACACACACACACACACACACACACACACACACACACACACACACACACACACACACACACACACACACACACACACACACACACACACACACACACAATTACCATACCGACAGAACAGAAATAACGTCCTCAGTCCTTAAGAAAACTTGGTAATGCTAGATGGGATTTTTAGTAAACCTTAGAATCCCGTCTGTCAACACTGGTTCCATCGATTTCAGCCGGTGTTCGGTATGCCGCATCATTTACCTGTGAAAACCCGTAATAAAGCGTTAACATAACTTTTTTTTTATCAAACACCGTACGGAGAAATGTACGGAGAAATGTTGGATATTTTCTCGTGGCATCATGGTCCAATTATTCCATTATCATAAAGATGGGAGAGTTAAAAGATTGTTATGAAGTAAGGGTTGTTAATTTGCCCGTGGTTTTGGTGTAGAAAATAGCACACGTTTTGGGACATGGCACAAATCACTTCGGCAATATTTCACTATTTTCTGACCATCCGTCTCCGACGGCAACTCTAGACATGACTTTTGTATTAAACATTCATTAGCACTATTGTTTTGGCCCCCGCCCAGGATGCGGCTGACGTGTAAAACCTCTCTCTATAGAAACAAACACACACACTGTTTCTATAGAAATTGCCTTTCCCAAATCTCCCGCATTATGTCAGGGTATTGGAGACGCCGCTTTTAGCTGGCCAACAATCACTCGTTTACAAGAAACCAGTGTGTTTATTATAACCACGCTCTCCCGGTACTACCCCTGATCATGTGAACAATACTAATCCCCGGTAAGTATTATAACTGGGGGATCGGGACTAAGTTAAAGGAAGTGTAGAGTCTATTATATTATATTTAAACATGGGATCTACTGTACCACACTGTAATACTGCTCCAGGAATATGAATGTGTGCGTGCGTAGTTATTACATACTTAGTATTACCCGGCCATTAATGTTGAGATATCATATGTATTTCAGTGAAGTGTAGGAAGTTGTGAGCATAATGGAGGTACGGTTCTCGGCAACAACTGGTAGTTTTTGGTAGCGCTATCTGTTATATGATAGGAATAATCAGTATGTGTGTAGAAAACCCCTCCTTTTCGGAGCTAGCTATCTGTGGAGTTTTGTTGTGGAGTTTATAAGTTTGTGTTCTGAAAACTCACTCTTCTCACGCTGATATTCACGATGCGAGATGTATTGTATTGCAGTAGCTCTCTTCAAAGAGAAAAGTAGAACTACTAAGTAAATTACTTAGCTGGAGGCGTG